ATTTTTACTGAGCTTTTACATATTCTAAATCATTAAAATGAAAAAAAAAGGAATAATACTGACACTTAAATTTACCTATCATTGCTGAAAAAGTACACTGAAATAATTCTCTCCAATAACAATCATCTCAGAGTATTCCGTCAATTTTCCTCTCTCCTTGGGAATCATTTCTGTAAGATGACCTTGATGCTTACCAACTCATTAAAAAAACTTTTTGGAGACATACACTTCTGAATTTTAACCTACCCAAATTCACTTTCTTTTTGTGAGTCAGAACAATCAAAATGTTCTAAAATATCTTATCTCAAATACTTTTTCTGAGGGGTGTATGCGATATAAAAAAATATTTTGAATAGTTTTAGAAAGACTTTCAGGGAAAAAGCTCATTTTTCCAAAAGATAGGTAATTTAACAGGTGACAAGAACTGCACTGATTTGGACTTTGTTAACTTGAAATCTGTCATATATTAAACCAGGCCATGTGTCTCTTGATTATATACAAGAGAATAAAAAATAATTTCACTAACTCAAGCAATCGTGTAAATAAGATAGTTGACCTATTTCTGAAGATACTTTAGAAGTACCTTAGAAATATTTTATCTAAGAATATGAAGCATTGGGGCAAGAGGCAGAGATGGTTTGGCAAACTGGTTCTAAAGGAAGGACACAGGGGAGTGGTACAAGGGAAATTTCAACCCTTAGTAATATTTTATGTTTTAAATATCTGAAACAATATTCACAAAATGTTAAGATATTCAATCACTTCTAGCCCTAATTAGTCTATTGGTATTTCAACTTGGATTAATGAAAACAAAAGGGTATATAAGTGGTCATCTAGCAAATATCAATGAAATATTTTCAGATGTGTCTAAAAAAACAACGGTGACAGCCAAGACAAATCAAAACATTAATAATAATATCATCTTGGCACTATTAACATTTGGGTTTCTCAATCTGGGCACTATTAATATTTGGGGCCAGATAATTCTTACTTGTAGGGAATTGTCCTGTGCATTGTGGGATGCTTAGCTGCATCTCCCAGGCCTCAACCCACTAGAGGCCAGTAGTACCGCTAGGTGACTAGACAACCCAAAATGTCTCCAGTTATTGTCAAATGTCCCCTAGGGGATAAAATCACCCTCCATTGAGAACTACTTATCTAAATTGTTGAGATGATGGATTTCACAATTCCTTCCTCCTCAAATCTCTTTGACTATAACATCATTAGATAAACATGATTAATACAAAGATAATTTCAACACCTGGCTTGGGCAGGAAGAAGACAAAGAACAAGAAAGCAGTAGTTTAATAAAAAAGAATGAAATGCTACTACATGCTACAACATGGATGAACCTTGAAAACATGCTAAGTAGAAGAAGCCAGGAACAAAAGACCACATATGGTACAATTCCATTTTTATGAAATGTCCAGAATAGGCAAATCTATAAAGACAGAAAATGGATTAGCAGTTGCCTAAGGCTGGGGTGGTGGTAGTGTGTGTGTGTGTGTGTGCATGCGTGCGTGTGCAGGTTTGGGGGAAATAGGGAGTGACTGCTAATAAATACATGGTTTCTTTTGGGGGTGATAAAAATGTTCTAAAATTGGTTGTGTTGATGCCTGCACAACTCTGTAAATATACTAAAAACCATGGAATTGGACAGTTTAAAAGGGTTAATTGTATGATATGTGAATTATATCTCAATAAAACTGTTAAAAAATACACACAAAAAAGTAGTAGTATACAATACAGAATTAGGCTGCATCAACAACCGATTTAAGATTCTGATATAGAAATCCCTTTGCCTTTGACGTCTTTTTTTCCAAGGAGTCTCACTAAAATTTTCAAGAGAAACTTCCATCATCCTAAAGATACTATAAAACCAAAAATCTAGCATCGTTTTAATAAGGACAAAACTGATGAAGGTTGACAAAATGAGTCACTGTGTCACTTAATCCAGTCTTTTGTTTAAAATATCTCGAAACACTGATATGAAACAACAAAAAAAGACATCATAGATACACCATAAAACCTAACTTGCTCAAATCAACTGGAGGAAAATGAGAGCCAGAATATTGGCAAGTGTTAATAAAATGTTTATAAAAAATCTAGCACAGACTTTTATTTCTGGCAACAAGGAGTACTAGATACTAGAAAGGAAGGAAGAAATCCAAAAATGCCAGATAATTTTTTTTTTTAATCTTTTAAAATGTATGATTGAGCTCAAAAGAAAGTAAAAAGATAGAACAGAAAAAAAATTGAACCCTGCAAAGGAAGACAAGGACGAAGCTGTTTTTCTTGGACTTTGGTAGAGATTGAGGAGGGCTGTTTCCCTAAGGATCTGCAATAATGTAGGCCCAGTTAAAAAATATATATATGTAAACACATAAATACATAATTTACATAAACACAAATGCAGAAAAAGATCCAGAATTACATATACTCAGGTGCTAATACTGGTAATTTCCAGGCACTAGAACTATGTTGGTATTTTCTCATTTTTTCTAGTTTTCTACAGTATACAAGTATTGCTTCTAAAATAATATAAGCTGCTTAAAATGAATTAAATTAAAAGTGGTCCTGGGTTGGCTGCACAAAAGGAAAAAAATCCCCTCAGAATTAATGCATCCTTGGCCAAGACATAAAAGTATTCTCACAGATAAACTTCCCCCCTAAATTGAGCTTATAATTAAAACACACGTGCGTGCACACACACACACACATCACTGCCACCACTGCCACCACCACCGTAAGAAACAGCAAGCAGAAAACAAAGGGCAGATTCAAATTCCCCACAAATCTGATTTCAGATTTTGGAATTATCAAACATAAAATCCAAAAGAGGGCCGGCCCTGTGGCTTGGTGGTTAAGTGCGCGCGCTGCAATGCTGGTGGCCCGGGTTCGGATCCTGGGTGCGCATCGAGGCACCACTTCTCCGTCCATCCTGAGGCCGAGTCCCACATACAGCAACTAGAAGGATGTGCAGCTATGACATACAACTATCTACTGGGGCTTTGGGGGGAAAAAATAAAATAAATAAAATCTTTAAAAAAAAAAAAATCCAAAAGAGAAATTTTTTAAATTTCTGAAGAAATAAAGGAAGAAATTAAAAGAATTATTAATAAACAAAATGAAAAAGTATATGTAGAAAGACTCAAACAGAACTTCTAGAAATGAAAGATATAATTACTGAGAGTCAAAATTCAATGGGTTAAACAGAAGATTTGACACAGACGAGGGGCAAATTAGCAAAATGAAGAGATAGTCCTGAAAAAAAACTTAGAAGGCAGCACAAGATTGATAATGTAAAAGAAAGTTTAATAAACATGAGGGATAGAGTAGAAAGTCTAATATACATGTAATAGAAATAGCTGAAGGATATTAGATTAATAGGATAGGAAAGAGGCAATATTAGAAGAGACAATATTAGCAGCCTCGTGAGAAAAAAAGACAGGTTAACCTAAGAACAAAAATTAGACTGAAAGCTGACTTCTCCAAAACAAAAAGGAATCCAGAGATAGATGAATAAAATCTGCAAAACACTGAGAAAAATAACTGTTAACCTAGAATTGCATACCCAACAAAATTATCTTTCAAGAACAAGGGTGAACTAAAGGCATTTTCAGACAAATAAACTTTGAGAAACTTTACTATCAACAAGCGCTGTCTAAACAAAAATTTAAAGGGTATACTTTAGTAAGAAAAACTATACCAAAGGCAGGTCTGAGATACAAAAGACAACCTTAAGATGGGAAAAAAGGAAAAACATGTAGCTTGATCTAAAGAAACTATGATTTTACTTAACAGAATTTTCAATATCTAATTTATGGGATTTTAAAAAAAAGAACTAAAATACAAGGCAAGAACAGCTTAAAAGTCATAAAAGAGAATGACTGGAGTTAAAGCATTCTAAGGTCACAGTATTATTCCACAAAAGGGTAAAGATATTGATTAATTTTCGCCTTTGCTATGTTAAGTATGAAAGGTATAACTTTGAGAGTGGCCTCAAAAAACAGAAGATGAAAAACTTTTAAAAAAGTAGAAAAAAAAATATGTAGAAACAATTACCAATAAATGGTATAATTCTCCAGAATAATTAAACAATTTTAAACTTGTTTGACCCAGTAACGTAGCTTTAAAGTGTATAAAGGAAAACTTGACAAATCTATCATCACAAGCGGAGATTTCAACTCATCTTTCTCAATAACTGATAAATCAAGAGATAAAATTAATCACGTTTCAAAAGGTTTGAAAAATAAAATTAACAAATAAGCTTGCTCTGACTCTGCACCCAAACAACCGGAGAATACACGTTTTTTAAGTACACACAGATCTTTAATGAAAACCCACACATACTAGGCCAAGCCAATTACTTACTAATAAATGTCAGAGAGTAAGTATCATATAAACCACATTCTTTGACCAAAAAACAAAACCAAAAGACTGCTTGAAAAATACTGTATCTTTGGAAATTTAAAAACATACTTCTAAATAACTCATAAGTGAAATAAGAAATCATAACAGGAATTAGAAAGTGCATAGAAATAAACATTAAAAAAAAAATACAACATACCAAAATAGATGCAGCTATGGCAATTCTTAGAGATATACTGATAGTCTTAAGAATGCTCATATTTAAACTCTCAAAAATGCATCCAATTTAAGTTAAAAAAAGAATAAAAAGTACATGTTTCAAAGGCATAATTCAAGTAGGCTAACAAAGTATTGCACTATGCAAATACTCAGGAAACTGGCAACTGGTTTTAAAAACATATAAAATACAATAATTATTTGTAAAATTAGATAATTATGAAGTGCTTGCTTGCATTTTTAATGTTGCATAAGAAATAAACTATGTTATTACTACTTTATCTCCAGCAAATAGACCAGCACCTGGCATATAATAAACATTTAGTATATGTTAGGTGACTGATAACAAATAACACAAAAATGTGAATGTGTAAGCAGTTATTAAAATACTAGATGAAAAAAAGACCACTTACCTGGTAATAAAATTTTATCTGTCTCACCAAAATGGATAGATTATGAATTCTAAGTGATGCATCATTGTTGACTTTTTTATTTACTCGCTGACTCTCCGATTTAGGATTACTGTAAGAAATAAAAAAAAAAAAAACTTTAAACTAAAATTATATTGAAATATATCTAACAACCTATAGATGACTGACCATAATCATAATACATTTTTTCTTTAAACAAATTGTATATTCATCTGCATAAACAGAGATGATCTAAAAGTACAGATGATTACTCTGACATGTATTCTATGCTTTTAATTAATATAAATGCATCTGATATTTCTAAGACAGTGGCAAAATAAATTTGAAACATAAGTCAGATATTGCCCTTCATTCTCATTTTCTCTCTCCACCTTCCTGGGATGAATAAACCTCTTATTTCCTTTGAATATATATATTTCCATCACCCAAAATAAATCTATTTAAATCAAGAATGTAAGGTATGGGCCAATAACCAATAAATGTCATATCTCCTCACTGGATAATGGGGACTATATTTGAGCAGGCAATGTCCCAGAGAAATTAAAGAATGAAATGATGACACAGGTTAATACTTTTATTGTGGGTGAATTTTGTAGATTCAATAAAAGCAAAGGGTTGAATGATTCTGAGGTAGCAGAAACTGAAGAATAAAAATAGACCATCGTTAAGAATGAGAAATTCAGTGACACCAAAAGCAAGGACAACAAAAGCAAAATTAAACAAGTGCGACTACATCAAACTAAAAAGCTTCTGTACACCAAAGGAAATCATTAATAAAATGAAGAGGAAACCTATGGAATGGAAGAAATATTTGCAAATCATGTATCTGATAAGGGGTTAATATCCAAAATATATAAAGAACTCATACAATAGCGAAAACAACAGTCTGATTTTAAAACGCGAAGAGGAATTGAATAGATATTTTTCCAAAGAAGACATACAAATGGCCAACAGGTACATGAAAAGGTGCTCAACATCACTAATCATCAGAACAATGCAAAGCAAAACCACGAGACATCACCTCACACCTGTTAGGATGGTTATCATCAAAAAGACAAGAGCTAAATGTTGGCGAGGATGTGGAGAAAAGGGAACCCTTGTGCACTGCTGGTAGAAATGTAAATTGGTGCAACCCACTATGGAAAACAGCATGGAGGGTCCACAAAAAATTTAAAATATAACTACCATAAGATCCAGCAATCCCACTTCTGTGTATAAAGCCAAAGGAAATGAAAACAGGATCTCATAGATATATGCACCCCTATGTTCACTAAAGCATTATTTATAATAGCCAAGATATGGAAACAACCTAAGTGTCCATCAACAGATGAACAGATAAAAAAGATGTGATATACACACAGACACACACACAGGCATATTATTTAGCCATGAGAAAGAAGGAAATCCTGCCATTTGTGAGAACATGGATGGACCTTGAGGACATTATGCTAAGTGAAATAAGCTAGACAGAGACAAACAAATACTGTATGTTCTCACTTATATGTGGTATCTAAAAAAAAAGTCAGGGGCTGGCCTGGTGGTATAGTGGCTAAGTTCACGTGCTCTGCTTCGGTAGCCCAGGGTTCGCAGGTTTGGGCGTGGACCTACACATCGCTCATCAAACCATGCTGTGGCAGCATCCCACATACAAAATAGAGGAAGACTGGCATAGATATTAGCTCAGCGACAATCTTCCTCAAGCAAAAAGAGGAAGGTTGGCAATAGATGTTAGCTCAGGGCCAATATTCCTTACCAAAAAAACAAAAAGTCAAAACAAAAAGTCAAACTCATAGAAACAGAGAGTAGAAAAGTGGTTGCAGAGGCTGGGGCGGGGAGGCAGGGGGGATTGGGAGAAGTTGGTAAAAGGGTACAAACTTCCAGCTAGATGAATAAGGTCTGACGATCTAACGTAAAACATGGTGATATAGTTGATAACACTGTATTATATAACTGAAATTTGCTAAGAGAATGGAATGTAAATGTTCTCTCTCACACACACAAAAGATAAAAATGTGAGGTGATGGACGTGTTAATTACTTAAATGGTGGGAATCCTTTCACAATGTATACATGTATCAAATCACCACTATGTATACTTTAAATGTATTACAATTTTATTTGTCAACTATACCTCAATAGAGCTGAAAAAAATAAAAATTAAAAAAAATTTTTTTAAAAGAACGGGAAAGTCAAGTAAAGTGGTGGCACCAGAACAGAAGGGTAAGTTGATCCCAGAATGTAAGTAGATATGAGCTAGTTCCTCATTAGGGCAAAGAAGTCAGTCTGGAGAAAGACATTGCCAAGTGAAATGGCCGACAATAAATCAGAATTCCCTATGCAAGGAGTGAGTATATAATATTATAAAACAGAAACCTAAGCAGCTGCTGGGACAGAGTACTATCCTATGATTATAAAATTTAAATGCAAGCACTTCCACACAAGGATGCAGAGAAGTAAAGAAACTGACAACAATCCAATAGAGAATAGGAACTGAGTAGAAACCTCTCATTCCTTAAACTCTCCCTTTTTTACCTAGTCCATTGCACTCTAATGCCTTCACTTCCTTCTGTAGACAGATTAGACTCTATGGGTGCTTTATTTCAGCAATTCTCAAACTTTTAGGCTCCAAACAACTGTTATTTTTGTGGGCTATTTTTATCAATATTTTCTGCATTAGAAATTAAACCTGCAAAAATGTCACAGTCATTTGCTTACTTATTAACTCATTTTTAAAAAAAATAAACCTAGTACATGCTTGCAAATACCAAACAAAAAAATTTTACTGAGAAGAGTGGCCTTGTTTTACTATTTTTACAAATCTCCTTAATATCTGGTTTAATTTTTAAAAACAGGCTGATGCTCATCTTTGCTTCTGCATTTAATCTATTGTTTGTGTTATTTTGGTTCACATATATGAAGAAAATTCAGCCTCACACAGGTAGTAGTTAGAAGTAGGAAGAGCCTATGGATTCCCTGAAAGGATCCTCAAACCAAACTCTGAGAACTATTGCTTTACTTCAATTATTCTCTTGCCAGCACTCCCAACATATTGATCCTTTTGTCCTTTGACCACACTCACACTGTCAATCCCCAACACGGGATCAGTTCAACTGTCTACATTGAGACTGCTCACAGCACTACATGAGAAAATAATACAACCAAACTAAGCTAAAATATCAAATAGGAATAGCTAGTACCAAACTTGATCTCTTGCCATAAAGCACTAGAAAACTGGACAAAACATATGAAATAATTGTTTTCAGACTTTGGACAGCAGGTAATACAAGGATATAACCCCTAGCTAGGCTCTCACTAGTGAAGCAGTGAGGCACTTTTCCAGAATGAGGTATAGGGAGGGGTAGCTCAAGTCTCACTGAACTTGAAGAGACAAAGCTTCGAGTTCAAGGGGGTTGAAGTGACTGAAATTTTTAGAAAAGAATACCAAAGAAAAGGAAGCTATACTAACAAAGAGCTCTGAAAATATGCCCTTAAGATTTTGGTTAAATACTAAGTTATTCATATGTACCCTAAAACTCCACAAGGCTGAGCAGAGGAAAAGTACAGGAAAGCTGTAAGCTAAATAACATCCAAAGCTCACAAAAGGCAGAGAGAAATTCAGGTTCTGACCAGCCAGAGTAAAAGAGAGACCTTGATAAACACCCAGAGCATTTAGTAGAGACTTCAGAAGAGTCATATATTAGAAGTAGGATTAAACTAGTGGTTGAATAAAAGCTATTCCAGAACCTCCCTAATAAAGCTTAAAAACATGCTTTGAAAGGATCAAGCTGATTGCAAGTAACATGACAACCTGCCACAATAAAATCCATCACTCCTTAAAGGACAAGATCCAGACACTCCACAGTGTAATAACTACAATGTCCAGCATACAACCAAAAATTACTAGACATGTAAAGAAGCAAAAAAATGTGATTCATTCTTTTCAGATGCCATGCCTAGTCAGACTAGGGAAACTAAAGAAAAAATAAACAAGTGGGACTTCATCAGATTAAAGAGCTTCTACAAGACAAATGAAATCAGGATCAAAATGAAGAGACAACCCACCAGCTGGGAGAAAATATTTGCAAAACATGTATCTGACAAGGGGTTAATCTCCATAATATATAAAGAACTCACACAACTGAAAAACAAAAAAACAAACAACCTAATCAAAAAATGGGCAGAGGGGCCGGCCCGGTGGCGCAAGCAGTTAAGTGCACGCGTTCGCTGCGGCGGCCCGGGATTTGCCAGTTCGGATCCCGGGCGCGCACCGACGTGCCGCTTGGCAAGCCATGCTGTGGCGGAGTCCCATGTACGGTGGAGGAAGATGGGCATGGATGTTAGCCCAGGGCCAGCCTTCCTCAGCAAAAAAAGAGGAAGACTGGCAGATGTTAGCTCAGGGCTGATCTTCCTCACAAAAAAAAAGAAAAAATGGGCAGAGGAAATGAACAGACACTCCTCCAAAGAAGATATACAGATGGCCAATAGGCATATGAAAAGGTGTTCAACATCACTAATCATCAGGGAAATGCAAATCAAAACAACACTAAGATATCACCTCATGCCCGTCAGATTGGCTATAATCACCAAGACAAAAAACAACAAATGTTGGAGAGGATGTGGAGAAACAGGAACCCTCATACACAGCTGGTGGGAATGCAAACTGGTGCAGCCTCTATGGAAAATGGTATGGAGATTCCTCAAAAAGTTAAAAATAGAAATACCCTACGATCCAGCTATCCCACTACTGGGAATCTATCCAAGGAACCTGAAATCAACAATCCAAAGAGGCTTATGCACCCCTATGTTCATTGCAGCATTATTCACTACAGCCAAGAAGTGGAAGCAACCCAAGTGTCCCTCGACTGATGATTGGATCAAGAAAACGTGGTGTATATATACAATGGAATACTACTCAGCCATAAAAAAAGACAAAATTGTCCCATTTGCAACAACCTGGATGGACCTGGAGGGTATCATGTTAAGTGAAAGAAGCCAGAAAGAGAAAAACAAACCTGCATGATTTCACTCGTATGTGGAATATAAACCAACACATGGTCAGAAAGAACTGTATGATGGTTACCAAGGGCAAAGG